CGGAAAAAAAATAAAGTTGGTTTAGAGTTGCTGAAAAGTGGTTTTTCGTATTCAGCACACTCGATAACCCAGAAGATTTTCTGTTTTTGGCCCGAGGTACTTCCGAAAGTTTAGGAAAATTTTTCAAATTAATATTATTTTTCTATAAAAAACTTTTTGCGCCATTTTGTTTCAAAATTTTTCTTAAACTTTCGAAAGTACCCCGAGCCAGAAATAGAAAATCTTCTCGGTTATCGAGTGTGATGAATACGAAAAATCACTTTTCAGCAACTCTAACCCACCTTTATTTTTTTGTTCCGGTGATATGTATGTACTTAACAACTACATCACACAGCCTATGTGTATATAACTGTTCATGTTCGGATGATAGTTCGTGTGAGTTTTATTGTCGTAACGGTCAATGTCAATATTCCATACCACAGTGGGAAAAATGTTCCGGCTATCACATTCATCCACGAGAATGTGGTAGATTGCAATGGTACAATCCACTTTCTAACAAGTGTGAACGTCAAAAATACAATTATTGGACTTGTCAGTATGATTACGAATGTATGTCAGGCTATTGCAGTCCGGAAAAGGCTTGTGTCAAAAGAAGGTCACGGTCGCTTTGGACACGATTATACCAAGTGTTATTGCTGGTACTTTATTTTTACTAATTATCATTATTGCATGAGAAATACAAAACACAGTGGAACGTTGCATCCAATGTGTGTCCGATTTCGCTCAAACTTTTATAGTATGAACATCGAACGCATTTAGGAATAATCTGAAAGTTTCAGCTCAAGCGGTTGTTTCATCTAAGAGATAAAAGCATTTTTCTAATAGGTGTCGCTCGTTATAGAGAGCTGATTTTTGTTGTAGATGCCAAAGTAGAACACGTGTGTATCTCTATTCTCCTTCTTGATTGCCATCATAATCAAATCTTTTTGCGTTTCGTTCACTCACTTACGTCTATCTCCAACACAGCTTCAGTTTACCATATTGCAGAATAGTTAATTTATTCTCTCGTTCTCTATCTTTCTATTCTCTTCTGGTTCGATATTTGAGAAAAAAAGGATCACTCGATTTAAAATGGTTCGATATCGAATCATGGTGTTTTAACCGAACCATTTCGTGATGTGATTTTTTTGTTCTAACATGAATAAAGAAGAATTTTTTAAAATCATTAATCGAAATTCCCACAGACCAATAGCGGTCATTTGTTCTGGACGTTTTGCTATGCATATTGTACCAGCTATAAAAGATTCATTTCCACAAGTTTATGCTGTCTATGTATTTTGTTTTGATATTGTAAGACAATTAAATTGGGCATTAAAATGTATTGATACCGGATTTCTTATGTTTGATGATGATATAAAATTACGTTTACGTATAATCAGAGATATGGGACAATATTTTATTGAAAAAGGATGTGAATATTTAAAATTAAATGTAGCAACTCGGGCATTGGAATATTTTACTGCAGCTAAACGATTATTTATACGTGCTAATAAGTTAGAACGTGAAGATTATGTAACACATATTGATCTTCTAGAACAAATATTGATACCACTAGCTGAAGAACAGCAAACGAAATCTGAATGCGATGACGATGGAAAAAATGCTGTAGAGTGTGATCTACTATAAATCATTAATACAAGGATTCATACTCCCATTCCAGAGGAATTCAGGAATACTGCAATATGAGAATTCTGGAGTTCACTAATACAGGAATTCAGGAATTTAGGAATACACAGGCCGTCGTGAACTCACTAATACGGGAATTGAGGGATAGAATAATTGAGGAATACACGAACTCAGGAACACAGCAATATAGAAATTCAGGAATTCACTAATACTCGTTTAATAAAAAGTGGTCGAACGAGTATTTTTAAATTTAAATTATTCTGCGTTTCCAAAAAGCGACCACTTTTATACCAGTTGGCTTCACCATAAATGATTCACTTGATATTCATATCTTTGACTTCTTTGTTGATTCATTTCGGCAAGCTGTACATTCATCTGTTCGCGTTGTTGTTTCAGTTTATCAATCAGAATTTGATTCATTCTGACAATCTTCTGCAACAGATTCTCTAGGTTCATCACCATCATCACAGATCCAAACTGTTTACTGGCTACAAATGTTTACTTTCCAGCAGTGAATTAAATAGTTTATAGAAAAAACAGAACCAAGTTAGATGTTTAGAAAAAATTACTTGACTCCTTATTTAAAACGAACGTTCGTTTCCTAGTCCTTTTCGTTTCGAGGGTCTACGCTAAGGCTGTGCGCTAACACTAGTCACATTCGATACGGAGAAAGCCTCTCTATCAGTTCTCTATCAAGTGATCATTTGTCTTTTGTCAGTTTTAGGCCTATCTCAAGCGACCCTACAATGGTTTAGGAAATAGCTTTCCAACGATTTCTAGCAAGTAAAAATTGACTCTAAACTGTCTATGCCAAACCCCGTAACATCAGGAGCGGTACAGGGCTCCATCCTTGGTGCTCTGCTATTCCTATTATTCATTAACGAACTTCCTACAGTCGTAGGCCTACTGGCTGATACTATCCTCTTTGCCGATGATTGTGTCCTCATCTGTCCTATAACGGCGGCAGGGCTATATCAATTATACCAGAGTAACATAAACAAGATTAGTGATTGATGCAGCTCCAATCTTATGACTCTAAAGTCATCAAAATGCGCGTGAATCTTCGTTGCCAATAGTCCTAATAGGGCAAATAATTAAAATACCTTTTAAAATACCGCCCCCCCCGCGAGACCCGAAAAAGCCTTCCGGAATTTATGATTTTGTTTCTGCTAATATCCCGTTAAGGCACTGTTTATTTTTGATCAACAGGATGCTTAAAAATAATTCAGTCCGATCGATGGTGTTACTGGTATATATCTATAAACTTCTCGAAATATCTTTCATCTTGCGTCCTGTTACCATTAGCAAACCGGCAGCCAACTATCGACTGTACGACAATGGTCCATGGATACTACTGAACTTTTTTATAAGAAAAGTTTCGCGAGCAGTGCGATAGCTGATTAATATTTAATTATACCGAGCTTGATAACAGTGAATGAGTTTAGAAAAGAAATCAAATAGCAGACGCTTTCAAATGTTTTTTAATACGTCTGTTAGAGGAAGTCATTAAATACGTCTATAAAACAAATGTATTAAGACAGTTAAGTGAGAAACGGCTTTGAGGTATTTTCTGAAGATTTTTTAGTCGAATAATATTATTCCTCATTTTGATCCATCAATTGGGCAAACATTCAACATTAAAAAGTTACGAACATGTTTTAAGAATGTGGAAAATTTTGTAGTAATGCATGTAGTACTCCCTGAACTGGATTCTGCAAACGCGTAATTCTCTCCGATAACCACGTGACATATTGTCTTTACTGGCTGGCTTCGAAGTGTCCATGGTTCAAATCAGCACAATATACACACCAAGATGATTTTCAAGCTAAAATATCTTTCGACTGATGGACAGAGCTAACTTGACTAAGGCTACAAATTATTCTATGGCGAATTTACTTTCGTGATTTTAATAACAATCAGTAAGCGCGTAGATGACAGCAATCCAACACGCATAATAATCGTGAATAATCGCTTAGGTGCATATCAAATGTGCCTTTATCCAGCTTCAATCCTGGCTGCCACCAGATCCAACCTAGCTTTAGTCAGACACAATTAACCGTTACCAATTAATTGGGTATTGAAGCTCCCGCTTATTTGATAAATGCACCGTCCTTTCATGTACCTCTATCTCGCGAGCAGGTAAACAGTACACTGAGAAATCAAAAAGCAAAAGAAATATTCATGTTCAGAATTTTTAATAAATCTAAAATAACCTTCAAACTACCCCTGTTTCTTTGTTCGATGTCTATGTTTAAAGCGGTATTTATGGTAAATTTAACATTGTTTTTACAGCAGTAAAAACATGGTAAATGTTTCTTTTCCCGTATTATTTGTTTCATTCAAATTTTGGAACTTGTAGGAAACATTTTTAGATAACCGTGACATCTGAAAAAGAAATCTAAAACTCATGAAGCATATAAATACGGAAAAGTCTTCGTATTTATCATTTCCATATAAAATCAAGATCACATTGATAATCATTTGGTTTACTAACCGTTTGCATTGATACAGTCAAAGTATAATAGTACTATTTTAAAACAATAAATCATTGTTTTATACTATTTCAGTATTTTGAATATTGATTTACTTGGTCTGTAAACGGGTTTAAACATAAATTAGTGTTCGCCACCCGGAGTCGGTAGTCCTACTATCACTTTGAATCCTCCATATAAAAACCATTGTAACGCTGTTAGAGTGCCAATCATAATTATTCGAGTACCTAATCCTTTCCACAATCCTGCAAAACCTATACCGCGTTTTTCTCCTGTGCCACTATAGATTACTCGAATTTTTTCCAAAATATTTCCATTCATGTTTAATTGATTTATTTTACTAACCATAACATCCGCTGGATTTGAAATAATTGCACAAAATATTCCAGCAATATATCCGGATGTGAATATGATACTCATTTGTTCTAGTTTATTCATTTCATCTTTTTTTCGTGGCGATAATTTATATAATTCTTCAGCAATTCGTTCAAATGCAACAAACTTTGTAACTGTGTACGGTACTTGACGACACCACAATGGAATTAGACCAGCATATAGGCCTCGTAAACCATTCTCTGCATAAAATTTTGGTAATCCATCCTAGAAAGAATTATTTGTATTTTGAAAAAGAGTAAATAATTTTAATAACTTACACTTAATCCATTCGCAAATGATGATGTTTGAATTCTCACTTTAACAGCTTCTAATGGGCATAATCCAATATCAGCTATAATTTCAGCTGTCGCACTTGCACCTGCATTGATCAAATCTCTATATTTATCATTTTGTATCCAATTAGAATATTTATATTTAAAATACTCGTAAAATCCATATTTTCCAGCACCTTGAATACTATAGCCAACAAACGTTGGTCCCCATCCTTTGACAATCGAGCGTAATCCTCCTCCATCAGATAAACCTAATTTTTTTACGATTTCTTCTCTACCATTATAGATTTGTTTCAGACCACTCGTAACTGATGTCGGAAAAATTTCTGGATTATTTTGAACATTACATTTAACCAGATCCAATGGAGTCACTAATCTAAAAAGATTTTACCGTTGTTTAATAATAGTAAATTGGCTACAGTGTAAACAAAGAGTTGGCAATTTTCCACTAGACCTTTTTATTTTCTGCAGAGTTCAACAATCATTTGTTCTGATTTTTGTTCATATTTTGTATTGGACTAGTTAGCGAAACTTCATGCTAAAACATAAGGAGAACCAAATCTTCACACCATCTGTCGCACTACATACTAAACTTCACTCATTTAGTACAAGGCGCGTTCTCCAGAATACTTGATTAATTATCCCTTCGCATAAAACATATTTTCCACCAATACAGCAAAAATGTGCAATTTACACAATCAAATGTTTAAAACAGTTGTAAAATTCGCTAATAAGAAGAGATATTTTCTATTGTCTAGAGAGTGATCTATCATCTCTGGTGGACGGAACGCTACTACATAAATCACTTTCCAACCATCTTAATTTAAAACTTTGTAAAAATTGCTTAAATCGCTACACAAATCGTACAAAAAATCATGCCTGAAATCCGTGAATGAGAAAGACATGTAGGAAGTATGATGAGTAAAACGGGTTTTTATGTGAAAGGCTGATTACAAAAAAGAAAGTTTGAGATCTTCAAAACCCAAAATGACCAAAACATCGATTAAACATCAGAAGGGTCATCGATGACTTGATAGTACATTTGACAAATCTACCTAGTTTTCGTAGTTAAGCGATAAAACAACTTTCTCATATGCCTCAAAGCCTGGAGAACA